AAAAAAAAAAAAAAAAAAAACCAAGTTTCTTCATTTTTGTTCCTTACCCCATTGCTTTGATCACTAAATTTGTTGTCGTTTCTTCATATCATTCATTCCTAACAATTGGTACCAAATTGATTTTCTTCTCTTTTGTGTGTTCTTTAATTTTCCTTTTTTTTTTTTTCGTCATAAATGGCATATTTTCGACACGTAGTTATGATCATTTCCTCGTGCAATTAAACGATATTCGATTCAACATTTACTTTTCGTTTATGGTTTCTTTCGTGTGACGACAATCGTAAAAAATTCTTCCATAAAGGAATCTTTCGATTCAACAATATAGCACGAGATATAATTTCACGTCGTCGATTCTAATAATGATCGTGCTTAATTCCGACCACCCGTTCAATCTACCTATTAATACAACTATCTTCTTTTGTGTTTTTTTTTTTTTTTCTTGCAGAAAGCATTTGATTTTGGGACAAGAGTATTGAAGAAAGAGAGACATATATGCAAGAACAAAAATGAAATAAAAAGTGTCACTAAATATTAGGGTAAAGGTTGTAACATAATATACTTTCCATAATTAAAAAAGAGGAGGAAAAAAAAAAAAAAACATTAATTAAAGACGTTACAAGATTATTAAGAAAATAAGTGATAAATAATTAAGAAAACTTTAAAATGGGTTCACCAACAACAATGGATAGCCATTGCCCTTCTGAAAGCCCCACACAAACTTTAATGGATAATCTTTTAGGGCTTCTGAGAATAAGGGTGAAGAGAGGTGTTAATCTTGCTGTTAGAGATGTAAGGAGCAGTGATCCATATGTTGTTGTCAGGCTGGGCAAACAGGTAATTCTCTCTCTCTCTCTCTCTCTCTCTCTCTCTCTCTTTCATACGCATGCATGAGATCTGTAGCTATAAATATGGGGAGATGCTACGGTCTCGTTACGGAATCATTCCGTCGGAATTTGTAGCCGTTAGATCAACTATCTTCGACGGTTATATGATAATCTAACGGTTACAAACTTAAAAGCGGGACAGTAACATTTCCCATAAACATGTATCTGTATATGTATTTAATTTTATTTATTTTTAATTACTTTGTGTGTTCATGTGTGGGATGACATTTTCTATTTTATTATTGTGAGGTTCATGTTTCATTCAGTTGATGAATGCTTGTGTCATATTTGTGAAGAAAGAAAAAAATAAAAGAAAAAAAAAAAAAACACCCAGAAGTTATGTCTAGAGTTTGTAATTAAGGTCATTCTTGATACATTAATTCAGAAAAGTATATTTTATTAAGCCATAAATTTTGGAACCAATTTATTAATTACAAAGATATTTTTATTTTTTTTAGTTATTTTCGTTTATTTTTATGTCTATTAAATTGACATACATTGTTTATGTACACTAATTTTTCCAATTTGAAGAAAGTACAACCTATTAAATTGATTATTCTTTTTTTATTAATGATAAAATTTATAAAATATGCATGATATGTTTATTATCTAACTTATGATTATAAGTACTATATACACATACATATAACATAAAAATTTTTGCTTGTATCTTACACGTGCACAAGATCGAGTACTAGTTTATGACTAATTTGACAAGTTAAATTGCGCATGAATTTTTTTGTTTTTCCTCCTTTTTTAGGGAAACTTTTAGTAAACTAATTTTGAATGATGCAGAGGTTAAAGACTCGTGTTATTAGAAAAGATATTAATCCTGAATGGAATGAGGACCTCACACTTTCTGTATCAGATCCAAGTAAACCAATTTCCCTGGTATGTCTCATCCTTTATTATTATTATTCATAAATTTTGCTTTTAGGCCCATCAAAAATGATTTTTTTTTTTTTCAAAATCATATTCTAATTCTTATTTTATTCAAAAAAAAAAAATAGTAATACTATAAATATTTATTTTTATTAAAAAAAATGTAATGAGTGATCTCATTAATAATTAGACTGCCTAACGACAGTATTTGCGAATTACAATATATAATTTTATATGATTCGACTTCAGACCGTGTATGATCACGACACATTCAGCATGGACGACAAGATGGGAGATGCCGAGTTTGATATCCGACCATTCATCGATGCCTTGAAGATGCAGTTAGACGGCCTTCCGAATGGCACGATAATCACAAAGATACTTCCGGGTAGGTCCAACTGTCTCGCCGAAGAGAGTTGCGTGCTTTGGAAAGATGGCAAAGTAATCCAAGACATATGCTTGAGACTAAAGAATGTCGAGTGTGGAGAAGTCGAGCTTCAACTCCGGTGGATCGACCTTCCCGGCTCCAAAGGCTTATAGGCTTATAGTGGTAACCGAAGAAAATATAAACTTAATTCTCTTTCCCCCTCCAAAAAAATAGCATTTTTATTAATGCAAGGTTTTGATTTTGTCTCTCCGGCTAGGGATTGTTTTGCAGCTTTTTTCATTGGTTTCTTTTGAGTTATCGAGGTTTCTTGGATATATGCCATATTTTATTGCACGTATAAGATTGTATAGGATACTTTGGTTTAATTTTGAACCGAAAGTGCATGGTTTTTTATGTGATTTAGCATGGTTTTTTATGTGATTAATTTTCGCAATTAAACATGTTATGCCATTTGTGTTCACTAAATTGAGAGAGATTATGTTACATTTACGGAGTTGGTTGATATGATACATGAAATTCAACTTGGATATAGTCCGGGGCCAGTTCGATTCTGACTATCGTGGAAATAGGGGCTCCCTATTTTCTCCAGAGGATTAGTCCCACCTTCTGGTGGTAGAAAGTTGGCATGTTGGCTTGACTTTTATGGACCAATTCTCCCGACCACTGGTCGGTCTTCCTAGGTGGGCCGGATGATGGCTTGAGCTCGGCGTCGATATCCCGGATTAAAGGCAAATATCACAAGCCATAATCACAGAATCTTCAGAGATCAAACCAAACAATAAGCTAAGAAGAAGAGGAACTTTGTAGATCTGAAAATAACACTATTGTATTGATAAACCCTAAAAGTGACCATACATAGTTCTTATATACATGAGCTGAAACAATACACACCCTAGGATCAAAATCTAAGGCTGTAAAGATAAGATAGAAACAGACAAGAAGGATGAACAAAAAGAAGAAGCCACATGGGCATGCAGACGTCCAAATATAAAGGAATTCCTTTTAAATGCTTTGACTTGTGTTGACTTCTATATTGTGCTATTATGCTCCCTTCAATTCAAGCGAGGGTTTTGGCCGAACAGTGAGTTTATCTTGAAGCCGAGCGAAGAATTGACCGGATAAAGGTTTTGTGAAGATATCGGCTGTCTGATCCAAAGCAGAAATATGATATACTGAAATGAGTTTGTTATGAACCTGTTCTCTGATAAAATGAAGGTCAATGGCGGCATGTTTCGTCTTAGAATGATGAACAGGTTGGCAGAAAGTAAGACAGAACCAAGATTATCGACCCAAACAGTAGTAGGAAGAGGCTGAGCTACATTTAGTTCAGATAGAAGAGATCTGAGCCACATGATGTCACATGTGGCTACAGCCAAACATCGACACTCAGCTTCAGTGCTTGACCGCGCAATGGTTTTTTGCTTTTTACTGCTCCAAGTAATGAGGTTGTTACCGAGAAAGATGCAAAACCTGAGGTCGATCGGCGGTCATCGACATCTGTGGCCCAATCAGAATCTGCATAGGCCATGAGTTGCAGTGAAGATGACCGTGTGATGTGGATGCCAAGATGAAGAGAGCCACTGAGATACCTAAGCAACCTCTTTAGTGCTTTCCAATGGGTATTTAAGGGATTTTGCATATATTGACTGCATTTGTTGACTGTGTAAGTGATCTCCGGCCGAGTTATAGTAGCATACTGGAGGGCCCCAATAAGCTGTCTATACAATGTACTATTCTCAGTTGGCTGACCATTGTGCTTTGAAAGACAAGGTGAAGACACCATAGGTGTGCTAAGAGGTCTACAATTGTGCATACCAGCTCTCTTCAATGTGTTGCTAATGTAAGAGGCTTGAGTAAGAGACAGACCTGCATTTGTGTGCTCAACTTCCAAACCTAAGAAATAATTCAATGAACCCAAATCTTTGAGTGCAAAAGAATTTCTGAGGATTGAAATGGTGTGATCTATCTGAGAATTGTCACTACCAACAATGATCATGTCATCTACATAGGCCAGAATAAATATGCTGTGACCTTTGTCAATTCTTATGAATAAGGATGTGTCTGATTTTGAAGCCTTAAATCCAAGAGAAGAAAGTATACTGCCAAGCTTAAGGTACCATGATCTTGAAGCCTGCCTCAAACCATATAAGGACTTTTTGAGTAAACATACAAAATCTTCATCCTTTTCATATCCAGGAGGTTGAACCATGTAAATGTTTGTGTCTAAGTCACCATTCAAAAAGGCATTGTCTACATCTATTTGCCTCATGAACCAAGACTTGGAGATAGCTGTAGACAAGACTGTTCTAGTGGTTGATGGCTTGAAAACAGGACTGAATGTCTCAGTGAAATCCAAACCAGGGATCTGACTGAAGCCCTTGGCTACTAACCGAGCCTTGTGTTTAGAAATTGTTCATCTGCATGTTTTTTAAGTTTGAATACCCACCTGCAACTTATAGCCTTCTTACCAGGAGGTAGTTTAGTAAGGATCCATGTTTTATTGTGAAGTAGAGCTTGATATTCATCATCCATAGCATGTTTCCAAGCTGGGTTGGAGAAAGCTTCTGTAAGACTGCATGGTTCACAGTGATCATCATGAAATGTTGTGGAAAAATAGACCTTTTTTTTTTTTTTTTAATGCCAGCCCTTCCTCTAGTAATCATGGGATGAATGTGATCTGCAGGAACATTGTTAGTAGCATTTGATATAGCCATACTATCGTATAACGGTTCAATAGCATCGTAGTTCAGAGATTACCGAGTCGACTTACGCGAAGTCGACTCTGTTCGCAGATTCTTTATAGTATCCCCAGTCAAGGGTCCAGGCATTTCGCCCAGTCGACTTCCACGTGCCGACTGGCATAAGTGGATTTCCTCTTGGAAGACGGTCAAACGCGTGAGGATCTACTGACAATTGAATATGGCCCAGTCGACTCGAGTTGATATCCCGAGTCGACTGAGGAAGTCTTGAAGCTCATAAGATCTCGACGACTCCAGTGCACTTCAACATATCGGAGGACAGTTGTTGAGGATAAGAAGGAAGCTACCAGAGATAAGGAAGAATCTAGATGCTGACTAGGAAGTGGACGGAATGCGAACCGACCAGGGTATTTTGGACATTTCCAGTAAGTCGGCCAGGGCATTTTGGGGACTTCAGGTAAATGTTTTACTTCTATATAAAGGAGCTGAGGTAACTTCAAAACCCTAACTCCCATTCATTCTACATTCTCCTCCATTGCTGCTGCTTCCTCAGAGCAGCCCTTTTTACTCTTTTCACATACTGACTTGAGCGTCGGAGGCTCTATGCCGGAAACCCCTCCGGCGTTGAGTTCTTGCAGGTGTTCTCACGGTTCAACAACGGTTTGGAGGCTATCGAGTCAGATCCGAGCTCATTCCCATCGGTTCATTCCAGATCTGAGCGGTTTTTCATCGGTTCATTCCAGATCTGAGAGGAGACCCATCATTTTGGCGCCGTCTGTGGGGAGTTCTTGAAGGAATTAAGAGCTTTACACCCAGCTTTAATCTGTCTCCGATAGCTGAGAAGGAAGGGTTGCAGAAAAACTTGAAAGACGATTTCAGGGCAACATGGACCGACAAACGACCTCCGCCGATTCCCAACGTCAGACCACCGCTCCAAGTGTTTGGTTTCCCGCCGTTTGGGGCACACGCGCCGTCAGGAGGGCGTATGGAGGAAGAGACGCCTATTACCCCACCCGGAGTCAAGATCCCAGTTCTCACCCAAGAGGAGGCCAGTCACGTGAAGGACACGAGCGGAGAAGCGGATGGTCACGCATCGACCGAAACATCTTTGAGATTGGGGAGGCAGCCTGGGCGACTTGATCCGGAGACAAGGCCACCACCCCAAATCGAGGAGCAAACACTGACCATGACGAGAAGCGAAATGCAGAGGATGATTGCCGAAACTGTAGCAGCCCAAATAAAACAGACTCGAGTCGAGCAGCCTAGGGTCGAACAGCCTAGGATCGAGCAAGCTAGGGTCGAGCAGTCCCAAAATGAACAACAACCCCCTGAACGCGAACAACAGGCGCAGTCACATGAAAGGCAGAACAGGAGGGCAGATGAAGAGGAACCTCTGTCAGGACTGTCAATCCACAGGCGAGAAACGACACCCTAGAGCAGTTGTTAGCGCATGTACGAGATTTGCAGGCTCGAGTCGAGGGGAGAAAAACAGGAAGCTCGAGGGGACATCCTTTTTCACAACACATTCTAGATGCTGACTTGCCTCAGGGGTTTAGAGAACTTAACATCTGGTACGACGGGTCGACTGACCCCTCTCGACATCTGAGGAGTTTTGAAAACATGGCGGTGTTGCACCGCTACAATGATCCCGTTCAATGTCGAGCGTTCTTGACGACTCTGCGAGGACCTGCGCAAGATTGGTTTCATCAATTGCCCCCAGGAGCCGTCAGGGACTTTGACGGATTTAGTTCAAGTTTTCTGATCAATTCGCAAGTGTAAAGGCCCAAGAAAAGTCTTACCTTACCCTGATAGGTATGCAACAGAAAGAAGGGGAAACATTGAGGGATTATGTGGTGAGGTACACACGGGCGTGCGTCGACTCCCCTCGGCCACTGAAAAAATTAAGTCGGGAGGACTCACTCGAGGATTACTCTCAGGATTATGCAGAAAATCCTTAGTAAAACGACCCGGGAGGACGTTCGATGAGGTGTTGGGAAGGTGCGCCAAGTACATGAATGTCGAGGAAGCTGAAGCCGACTTTTTGCAAGCAGCTAAAGCAAAAGCTGAGTCTCGGGACGAGAAGAAGGGTAAGAAACCAATTGCGACGGGAGAAAGGAAAGGATCCCCAAAGTCAGAAAGGGAGGGGCGGTCAAGGTGATGGAGGACAACTCAATATACCCCCCTGTCAGCCTCGAATGCAAGGATATTGGAAGTAATGGAGAAAGAAATTCGCGAAAGTGTTGTCAGGTGGCCACGGACGAGGAAGGATGGACCGACAAAGCCCAAAAGCGATCTGTATTGTCGATTCCACAAGGACTACAGGCATAATACCGACGAATGTCGGCACCTGAAGAATGAGATCGAGAGACTAATCAAAGCAGGCCATCTAAAAGAATTCGTTTATAAGGATCGAGATCGAACTAGTCGACGAAGGGAGAGGAGCAAGAGTCCCC